TAGGGGTCTTTGATGGCAGCTCTTGCCAGTAGGAACAGAGTCATAAAAAATTGTACAGCCCAGACCTCAGAAGTAGTAAAAAAACCTCCGAGAAGAGAGAGAAAATAATTTGGACTATTTAACGTTATTAAAGCAACCTGGAAAAGAGCAGACAAAGTTGAAATGGATGCAGTCAGAACCAAATGTTGAAGAAGTGGTAAAAGACAAAGGCTAGAAGGTATTTGATAAACGGTGCCAAATTCACTTCAAGCCTCCAAAGAATGAATAAAGAAAGAGAGATACTTTTTTTTTAAAGGACTGGGTCATGTCATAAGAGGTAAGTATGATAGATATCAAGAGGGCAGGCTTCCTAGGATGATCTGTGAACCAACAGTCCAAGACCTTTTGTTGATTTCAGCCCCACTTAGCCAAGACCTCAAGTACAAATAATTCTGGCAGTTATGGAGTAACCAACTGCTATTTTATAATGATTCTGTAAAAAAAAAAAAAAGTTTTGTTATTAAAATAATTTTCTGACTCAGTGTAAAAAAAAAAAAAGCAAGTATAATCTTTGCCATACCCACATACTATGTCATATACTACCTTGCCACAGTGACAGACTACCTAAGCTACATTTTTGTTGTTGTTGTTTTTAAGACAGGCTCTCTACTTTGTCGCCCAGGCTGGAGTGCAGTGGCACGATCTCGGCTCACTGCAACCTCTGCCTCCTGGGCTTAAGCAATATTCCTGCCTCAGCCTCCCAAGTGGCAGGAACTACAGGCGTACACCACCAAGCCAGGCTAATTTTTGTATTTTTTATGTAGAGACAGGATTTCACCATGTTGCCCAGGCTGGTCTCAAACTCCTGAATTCAAGCGGTCCGTGCTCCTCAGCCTCCCAAAGTACTGGGATTACAGGTGTGAGCCACTGTGCCCAAGTCTTGATTCCTTATAAAATCAAACATACACTTCACTTACCATTTGACCCAACAATCATACTCCTAGAGAAATGAAGATGTGTGTTCTCACAAAACCTCGTACATATTCATAGTGGTTTTATTATTTATAATTGCCAAAAACTGGAAGCAACACAAATGTCCTTCAATCAGGAAAGGAATAAACTGTGGTACATCCTTTCAATGAAACACTATTCGCAACAACAACAAAAAAAAACTACTTGCAGGCAACAACGTGATTGAATCTCAAATACAGTATGCTAAGCAAAAGAAGAATCAAAAAGAAAAATACTACATGATTTTATTTGTACGGAATTCTGAAGAAGGCAAAACTATAAGGACAGAACATGGATAAGAAGTTGCCGCTGGGCGCAGTGGCTCACACCCGTAATCCCAGCACTTTCGGAGGCCAAGCCAGGCAGATCACCTGAGATCAGGAGCCTGAGACCAGCCTGGCCAACATGGCAAAACCCCATCTCTGCTAAAGATAGTCGGGTGTGGTGGGGAACGTCTGTAATCTCAGCTACTTGGGAGGCTGAAGCAGGACAATCGCTTGAACCCAGGAGACAGAGGTTGCAGTGAGCCAAGATTGTGCCACTGCACTCCAGCTCAGTCCCAGCTATTTGAGGGAGGCTGAGGCAAGAGAATCACTTGAACCCAGGAGGTGGAGGTAGCAGTGAGCCGGGATCACGCCACTTCATTCCAGCCTGGGTGACAGAGCAAGACTCTGTCTTCAAAATTAAAAAAAAAAAAAAATTACAAAGGGAAGGAATTTCTACCCATGGGATTTAATGTTACTTAAGGAAAACCAGAGAGCATCCTATACTGTGTGAAATACTGAGATATGTAAAGAGCCCAGAATGGAGAAGGTAGGTAGGCAGTAAATGTTACTTCCCTCTCCTACAGTTTTCCAACAAATCCAAAAAATACATAAAAGCAGAGCAGATAAATAATATCTAAATGGAGAGATAAACTATGTTAATGAATCAGAAGATTCAATATAAACAATTAAGATTCAATTATTCCCAAATTGATCTACAGATTCAACACAATCCTAAAAAAAAAATCCCATCAGACTCTTTTGAGATGGAGTCTCGCTCTGTTGCCCAGGCTGGAGTGCAGTGGCCTCTGCTCACTGCAAGCTCCGCCTCCCGGGTTCACGCCATTCTCCTGTCTCAGCCTCCCAAGTAGCTGTGACTACAGGGGCCTGCCACCATGCCCAGCTAATTTTTTGTATTTTTTTTAGTAGAGACGGGGTTTCACCACGTTAGCCAGGATGGTCTCGATCTCCTGACTTCGTGATCCGCCCACCTTGGCCTCCCAAAGTGCTGGGATTACAGGCGTGAGCCACCATGCCCAGACTCTTTTCTGTAGAATCAACAAGCTAATTCTAAAAATTTTTATGGAAAACCAAAGGACCTAGAATAGCCAAAGTAGTTTTGAAAAAGAAGAACAAAGAGTCAGTAATCAAACTACACTAATCAAGACAGTGTGTACAGGTGTAAGCATATATGTAACAGAATAGAGCATAGAAACAGACCCATATATACATGGTCAACTGGCTGTCAACAAAGATGCTCAGATAATTCAGTGGAGAAAGAAAATCTTTTCAACAAATGGTGCTGGAAACAATTGAATATTCATAAGCCAAAAAAAAATAACAAAAAACCTTTGACCCACTATATACAAAAATAATTCAAAATGGATCACAGACCTAAATACAATACTTAAAACTATAGAACTTCTAGGAGAAAACATAGGAAAATGTTTTTTTGCGACTGGGTCAGGCAAAGATTTCTTAGATATAAAAGCAAAAGCAGAAACCATAAGAGAAAAAGATTGTTAAACTGAACTTCATTAAGTTTAACTTCTACTCTTCAAAAGACATACTGTTAAGAGGACAAGATAAGTCATAGACAGGAAGAAAATATTTGCAAAACACATATCTGCAAAGGAACTGGTGGCCAGGTGCAGTGACTCACACCTGTAATCCCAGCACTTTGGGAGGCCAAGGCGGGTGGATCATTTGTGGTCAGGAGTTTGAGACCAGCCTGGCCAACATGGTGAAACCCCATCTCTATTAAAAATACAAAAATGGGCCAGGTGCGGTGGCTCACGCCTGTAATCCCAGCACTTTGGGAGGCCGAGGCGGGCGGATCACGAGGTCAGGAGATCGAGACCATCCTGGCTAACACGGTGAAACCCCGTCTCTACTAAAAATACAAAAAATTAGCCAGGCATGGTGGTGCGTGCCTGTAGTCCCAGCTACTCGGAGGCTGAGGCAGGAGAATGGCATGAACCCAGGAGGCGGAGCTTGCAGTGAGCCGAGATGGTGCCACTGCACTCCAGCCTGGGCGACAAAGCGAGACTCCGTCTCAAAAAAAAAAACAAAAAAAAAAAAAAAATACAAAAATGAGGCTGGGCCCGGTGGCTCACGCCTGTAATCCCAGCACTTTGGGAGGCCAAATTGGGCAGAGCACAAAGCAAGACTCTGTCTCAAAATAAGTAAATAAATAAATAAATAAAAATTAATGGAGCATGGTGGCAGACATTTGTAGTCCTAGCTACTAGGGAGGCTGAGATGGGAGAATCGCTTGAACCTGGGAGGCAGAGGTTGCAGTGAACCGAGATTGTGCCACTGCACTGCAGCCTGGGCAACAAAGCAACACTCTGTCTCAAAAAAAAAAAAAGGGGCCAGGCGCGGTGGCTCAAGCCTGTAATCCCAGCACTTTGGGAGGCTGAGGCGGGTGGATCACGAGGTCAGGAGATCAAGACTATCCTGGCTAACATGGTGAAACCCCGTCTCTACTAAAAATACAAAAAACTAGCCGGGCGTGGTGGCGGGCGCCTGTAGTCTCAGCTACTTGGGAGGCTGAGGCAGGAGAATGGTGTGAACCCGGGAGGCGGAGCTTGCAGTGAGCCGAGATCACGCCACTGCACTCCAGCCTGGGAGACACAGCGAGACTCCGTCTCAAAAAAAAAAAAAAAAAAAAAAGGAACTGCTATCTAAAAATAGATGAACAATTTTCAAAACCCAGTAAGAAAACAAGCCATTTTTTTAAATGGACAAAAGATTTGAACAGACATATCATCAGGGAAGATACACAGATGACAAATAAGCACATGAAAAGATGCTCAACATCATTATTTATTAGTGAAGAGCAAATTAACACCACTATGAGATACCACCATAAACCTATCAATAGCTTTTTAAAAATTGATGATACCAACTGCTGACCAGGATGAAGAGTTGCCGGAACTCTCATACATTGCTGGTGGGAATACAAAATGGTGCAGCCATTGTGGAAAACAATTTGGCAATTTCTTATAAAGTTAAACATAAACTTACTATACAATCCAGAAATTAGAGGCAAGGTTGGAGGTTGGAGGGAGGCAGAGGTTGCAGTTAGCCGAGATTGTGCCACTGCACTCTAGCCTGAGCAACAGAGTGAGACAAAAAAAAAAAAAAAGAAAAGAAAGGAAGCCTGGGCAACAAAGTGAGGCCCCATCTCTACAAAAAAATTTTAAAATTAGCCAGGCACTCAGAAGACTAGATCATACCAGGAAAATAAAAAAATCAGCTTGGCAACTTGGTGTCTGCCTGTAGTCCCAACTATTTGGGAGAGAGAGAGGAGGATCGCTTGAGCCTAGGAGGTTGAGGCTGCAGTAAGCAACGATTGCACCACTGCATACCAGCCTGGGTGGGAGAGAGAGACCACGTCACTAAAAGAATAAAAGAAAAAGAAAGGAGGTGGGGCGCAGTGGTTCATGACTGTAATCCCAGCACTTTGGGAGGCTGAGGCAGGCGATCACTTGAGGTCAGGAGTTCAAGACCAGCCTGGCCAACGTGGTTGGTGAAACCCCATCTCTACTAAAAATACAAAAATTAGCCAGGTGTGGTGGTGCGCACCTGTAATCCCAGCTACTCGAGAGGCTGAGGCAGGAGAATCACTTGCGGCAGGAGGTAGAGACCAGCCTGGCCAACATGGTGAAACCCATGAGGCAGAGGTTACAGGGAGCTAAGATTGCACCACTGCAATCCAGCCTGGGTGACAGAGCGAGACTCTGTCTCAAAAAACAAAAAAAGAGGCGCGAGGCGGCCACTGGGAAGAGGAGAGCGCGGCATCTGGAAACTGCAAAGTCAGAGCCGCGATGTTCCGGATTGAGGGCCTCGCGCCGAAGCTGGACCCGGAGGAGATGAAACGAAAGATGCGCGAGGATGTGATCTCCTCCATACAGAACTTTCTCATCTACGTGGCCCTGCTGCAAGTCACTCCATTTATCTTAAAGAAATTGGACAGCATATGAAGACTGGACATCTCATATGAATGCACGATATGAAGAGCCTGGTTACAGTTTCGACTCCTCTCTGCAAGTGAATAGGCCCAGAAAGGTGTAAGAGACTCTTTGAATGGACATAAAATTCTGCTTGTTAAGAACAAAAAAACAAAACAAAACAAAACAAAAAACAAACAAAAAACAAAAAAAGAAAAAGAAAGGAAATTTTGACATATGCTACCACATGGATGACTTTTTTTTTTTTTTTTTTTTTTAGATGGAGTCTTGCTCTTTTGCCCAGGCTGGAGTGCAGTGGCGCGATCTCAGCTCACTGCAACCTCCGCCTCCTGGGTTCAAGCAATTCTCCTGCCTCAGCCTCCTGAGTAGCTGGGATTACAGGTGCCCGCCACCACGCCAAGCTAATTTTTGTATTTTTAGTAGAGATTGGGTTTCACCATGTTGGTCAGGCTGGTCTCGAACCCCTGACCTCGTGATCCACCCACCTCGGCCTCCCAAAGTGCTGGGATTACAGGCGTGAGCCACAGCGCCCGGCCCATGGATGACCTTTGAGGATATTAAGTTAAGTGAAAGAAGCCAGTCACAAAAAGACAAATATTATATGATTCCACTTACATGAGGGAGAGTAGTAAAAGTCAGGGACAGAAAGTAGAAGGGTAGTTGCCAGGAGCTCAGCGGAGGGGAATGGGAAGTTATTGTTTAATGGGTACAGAGTTTCAACGTTTGTTTTTTTTTTTTTTTTTTTTTTTTTTTTTTTGAGACGGAGTCTTGCTCTTGCATGCTGGAGTGCAGTAGCACGATCTCAGCTCACTGCAACCTCCGCTTCCCAGGTTCAAGCGATTCTCCTGCCTCAGCCTCTCAAGTAGCTGGGACTACAGGCGCGCGCCACTGCTCCCAGTTAATTTTTGTATTTTTAGTAGAGATGGGGTTTCGCCATGTTAGCCAAACTAGTCTCGAACTCCTGACCTCTGGTGATCTGCCCGCCTTAGCCTTCCAAAGTGCTGGGATTACAGGCATGAGCCACCACGTCCAGGCTGTTTTTTTAAATTTTGAGACAGGGTCTCACTCTGTCACCCAGGCTGGAGTGCAGTGGCAAGAACACTGCTCACTGCAGTCTCCACCTCCTGGACTCAAGCTATCCTCCTCCCTCACCCTCCCAAGTAGGTGGGACTACAGGCACACGCTATCATGCCCAGCTAATTTTGTTATTTGTAGAGACGAGGTCTTGCTATGTTGCCCAGGCAGGTCTCAAACTCCTAGGCTCAAGTGATCCTCCCACCTTAGCCTCCCAAAGTGCTGGGATTACAGGTGTAGGCCACTACGCCCAGCTAGAGTTTCATTTTTATAAGATGAAAAACATTATGGAGATGGATGGTGGTGATGCTTGTATAACATTATGAATGCATTTGATATCACTAAACTGTATAGTTAAAAATAGTTAAACTGGTAACTTATGTGTATTTTACAATAAAAAAAACTTGCAAAAACATGAATGAATATCAGACACATTATGCTAGGTGAAAGAGGCCAGCCACAAACACGACATACATGTGATTTCACTTATATGATATTCTGGAGAAGTTAAAACAATAGGGGCAGAAAATTGGTCAGTGGTTGCCAGGGACTTGAGTGGGGAAGAGGGAGAAGACTGACTACACCAGGGCACCAAGGAACTTTTCAGGTTAATAGAACTAGTTTATATTTTTATTGTAGCAAATTATATACCTAAAAAGAGTTAATTTTACTACATGTAAACTGTATCTCAAAAGCCTAGTTTAACAAAAAAGCAGAGCATTCTACCCACACCAAGAACATCCCATACAAAAGCATCCTTCATACCTTTCCTCGACTTTAATGGAGAGAGAGTTGCAGAGGTTGTGAACATACTGGGCATAACTCTCTGCCAGGGTCATGTCATATGCAGTCAGATGAATGTTTAAAACCCCATATTCATAATCTGTCCCCAAATTAATGACTCTCACTTCCACTTTTCCCTTCTTCTTCTTGGGCTGAAGAGAAAACAAAAAGAGAAAGAAAATAATCAAAGTATTATACAAGAAATTCTAATAATACTATCTTGATATTTTAAAAAGTCAATCTTTCTAATAAATTTGTTCACATTTTGCTCTTGGGTTACCCTACCTACAAACTGAAGTTCTCCTGGGAAGGAATGAGCAGCTTCCCTTGTCAGTCTGGGTTGTGACATCAGCCAATGCAAGGAGAGAGAATACTGCTGTCATTACTTGAATACATTAATTACTTGAACATGAGTACATGTAACTGTCTTGTGCTATTACCTTCTTTTGAGATTCGCCTCCCATTTCTGGCCTTCTATTACTCAATTTGTAAATTGATAGGGTTATGTCAGATTAAAATATTTTTCTTTTTTTTGGAGACAGTCTCACCCTGTCACCGAGGCTGGAGTGGCAGTGGCACGATCTTGGCTCACTGCAACCTCCTCCTCCCCGCTTCAAGTAATTATCATGCCTCAGCCTCCTAAGTAGCTGGGACTACAGGTGCCCACCACCATGCCCAGCTAATTTTTGTATTTTTCATAGAGATGGGGTTTCACCATGCTGCCCAGGGCAGTCTCGAACTCCTGAGCTCAGGCAATCCACCCGCCTCGACCTCCCAAAGTGCTGGGATTACAGGTGTGAGCACCAAGCCTGGCCTAGATTAAAATATTCCTAACCCATATATGAATTAAGGGGTCTATGAGCCCCCCAGTTTTTTTTGTTTGTTTTTTGTTTTTTTTGAGACGGAGTTTCGCTCTTGTCGCTCAGGCTGGAGTGCAATGGTGCAGTCTCAGCTCACTGCAATCTCTACCTGCCGGGTTCAAGTGACTCTCCTGCCTCAGCCTCCCAGCCATAGGCAGGAGGGACTGCACCCAGCCATAAGTCCCTCTCTTTATGGGCATTTAGGTTAGATTATTTTCGGTTGAGGTGCTTTCTTCTTTCTGATGTATGTTGTATTAAATATTTTTTCCCAGGCTTCATTTTAACTTTTTTTTTTTTTTTCTTGAGATGGACTCTTACCCTGTCGCCCAGGCTGGAGTGCAATGGCACCATCTCGGTTCACTGCAACTCTACCTCCCGGGTTCAAGCGATTCTCCTGCCTCAGTCTCCTGAGTAGCTGGGATTACAGGTGCCCGCTGCCATACCCAGCTAATTTTTGTAATTTTAGTAGAGACGAGGTTTTACCAATATTGGCCAGACTGGTCTCAAACTCCTGACCTCAGGTGATTCACCCACCTTGGCCTCCCCAAGTGCTGGGATTACAGGCGTGAGCCACTGCTACTGGCCAAGCCCCAAAATTTATATGCAAAATTTTACATGTATATGTTTCTGAGGAGAGAATCCTGAGTTTTATCAGAATCATGAAAAAAATTAACAGAAAGGAATCTCAGCATTAGTTCTCTTCTATTCCTCCTAGCTCGAAATTCTACAATTGTCTACACAGCATTCCTTTTAAGAACTGAGAGGTAGAAAAATTATTTGATTTCTTCCCCTTTTTTGTCATACAAAATATTGCTTCACTACATATCAACTTGTGTAGGCTGCTGTAAAAAGCTAAAATGAAGGCTGGGTGTGGTGGCTCATGCCTGTAATCCCAGCATTTTGGGAGGCTGAGGTGGATGGATCATGAGGTCAGGAGTTCAAGACCAGCCTGGCCAACATGGTGAAACCCCATCTCTACTAAAGATACAAAAAATTAGCCGGGCATGGTGGCAGGCATCTGTAATCCCAGCTACTCAGGAGACTGAGGCAGGAGAATCGCTTAAACCCGGGAGGTAGAGGTTGCAGTGAACCGAGATGGCGCCATTGCACTCCAGCCTGGGTGACAGGGTAAGACTCCATCTCAAGAAAAAAAAAAAAAAAAGTTAAAATGAAGCCTGGGAAAAAATATTTAATACAACATACATCAGAAAGAAGAAAGCACCTCAACCAAAAATAATCTAACCTAAATGCCCATAAAGAGAGGGACTTATGGCTGGGTGCAGTGGCTGACACCTGTAATCCCAGAACTTTGAGGCCAAGATAGGAGGATCACTTGAGCCAAGGGGTTCAAGAGCAGCCCTGACAATAAGCTATATCCTGACTCTATAAGAAAAATTTTCTTAATTAGCTGGGCATTGTGGCAAGTGCCTGTAATCCCAGCTACTCAGGAGGCTGAGGTGAGATGATGGCTTAAGTCTGAGGGGTTGAGGCTCTAGTGAGCTGTGGTCACGCAACTGCACCCTAGCCTGGGCAACAGAGTGAGATCCTGTTTCAAAAAAGAAAAGAAGGGAGACTTATTAAGTAAATTATGCAGCTGTAAAAAGAAATAAGGGGCCGGGCACGGTGGCACACGCCTGTAATCCCAGCACTTTGGGAGGCAGAGACAGGTGGATCATGAGGTCAGGAGTTCGAGACCAGCCTAGCCAATATGGTGAAAGCCCATCTCTACTAAAAATACAAAAATTAGCTGGGTGTGGTGGTGTGCGCCTGTAGTCCCAACTGCTCGGGAGGCTGAGGCAGGAGAATTGCTCAAACCTGGGAGGCAGAGGTTGCAATGAGCTGAGATCCCACCACTGCACTCGAACCTGGGCAACTAAACAAGACTCCATCTCTAAATAAATATATAAATAAATAAATAACCACTCCTTTATGTACAGATACTGGAAAGGTCTTTAAGATAAATAAATGATAAAAAGTAAACTGTAGAATAATGTGTTCAAAATGTTGCCACACATATAAAATGGGGGAGCTGGAAGAGAATAGATATGTGTGTGTGCATGTGTGTAATTACATACATACTTATTTGCTTGCATATTTTTAAAAAAACCTCTGGAAGCATGTACAAAAATAGTATTGGCTAGGCACAGTGGCTCATGCCTGTAATTCCTGCACTTTGGGAGGCCGAGGCAGGCAGATTGCTTGAGCCTAGGAGTTCAGAACCAGTCTGGGCAACATGGCAAAACCCCAGCACTGCAAAAAACACAAAAATTAGCCAGGCGTGGTGGTGTACACCTGTAGTCCCAGCACCTT